TCATTTGTAATCTTATTGCAATATATTCAGAATATGATTTGTATGGTATCGATTTTTTTATGTATATGTTGAAGCTTGAGTGTGGTCAGTTTATGTAAATGTTCCAAACGTTTTTAAAAAGAGTGTTCTTTGATTTGCTAGATATAAGGTCCCTTTTCTATTTAGTATATTAACTTTAGCTATTTCCTCCATTAGTTTCTGTGAATAGGTGTTAAAATCATTGTGATTATAGATTTATCAGTTTCTCCTCATAATTCTTTCAAAGTTTGCTTATATTTTTGAGACCATGCTGTCATACACATATAAGCTCAAAAGTATTATATCTTTCTAGTAAAAATATATCTCTATTATGATCATCTTTGTCACTAATAATGCAAATATATATATTTGATCTGTTCTGGATTTCTATTGGCTAGCATTTGCTGAGTATGACTTTTTACTTCCAACACTTCTTTCACATTTATGATTTGTGCTTTTGAAGAGATTTTTAAAAATATGATTGGAAAATCTGCTTTTTATAGGATGAGTTACAGCCACTTATATTTATTGTAATTAGAGATATATAAGGATTTTTTATTCACTGTTTTTATTGCTCCTTTTTTCTCATTTCCTGCTTTTTATTGGCTTAATCAAATCTCAATTTCTGTTTCCTTTATGCATTTTTAAATTAATTTAAATTGATGGATTCCATTTCACTCTTTCTGTGTATACTCAAAAATCTAATATATGCATAATTAACTTAAAATATTCCTCAGTAATTAGTAGCTCTTATTACATTCCCCAAATCATAAGGACCTTAGAATGCTTTAACTCTCTTCTTCCCTTCAATCTTCCCTGTAATGTTTCACTCTGGTTTTAAGCCCCCTAAAATTAGTCATCTTGTTATTGTTTTATGCATATAGGGCTTGATTAGTTTGACCCATAGTTACCAGTTTTCTTGTTTACCTTTGCTTCCTGAATCCTATTCCTTACTCCTAGGTTTAATTTGCATCTCACTGAAGTATATTTTATTAATAGTATTTCTTTGAGTGAGAATCTGTGAGTGGAAACTCTTGACATTTGTTTGAAAATATCTTTATTTCACCCTTGCTCTTGGATGATAGATAATTAGCTGGCTATAAAAGTTAGGTGGGCAACACTTTTCTCTGAGTACTCTGATGAAATTTTCCATAATCACTCTCTTTTTTTCCTGAGAAAAAGTCTGTTTTTACCCTAATTGCTGTTCTTTTGCAGGTTACCTGGTTTTTAGGATTTTGCTTTGTCTTTTGGTATTCTGCAAGTTCACTATAATCTATATAGATATAGATTATTTTTATTTATCTTATTTGAGCCTCATTTAGCTTTTCTTAAGCTGAAGATTTTGTGTCTTTTACTAATTCTGGAAAGATCCTGGCTGTTTTTTCTTTGAATATATATTGCTTCCACATATACCCTAAACCCCATCATCTCCCAACTTTTTGGGATTATCACTCTTTTGCTTATCTTCTCTTTCTCCTACATCTCCAGTCTCTTCTGCATCTCCAGTCTCTCCTACCTATCATATCAATCATACCATCAACAAGTCAACATGCTCTAATGTCTCCCATCTTTAAAAAAAAAAAGCTCCATTGAGCCATCCTATTTCTCTGCTGAACATCATAGCTAAACTTCTTGATGGAGTTGCCTTCACATTTCTCCACTTCCTTACCTCTCATTTATTCTTCAGTTACTTAAGTCTGACTTCTGCCCTCACCAATCCAAAGGCACTGCTCTTGCCAAGGTTGCTAACAACTTCCACGTATCTGAATCAGTATTTAGTACTTATCTAAGTAGACCTCTTGCCAGCATTCCACATGATTGACCACTCCTTGCCTGAGGTACTCTTCACCTCTTAGCTTCTGAAACATTTTCCTGTTTTGTTTTCTCTAAACATTGGAGCACCGAGGGTTTGGTGTTGAGCTGTCTTTTCTACTATCTATCTCTAATACAGTCATGTGCTGCATAATGACATCTCAGTCAAGTATGGACCACATATATAATCGCGGTCCCATAAAATTATAATGGAGCTGCCCTATACAGGTGTACTATCTTTTATCTTTTGTATCATATTTTTACTGTATCTTCTCTATGTTTGGTTACACAAATACTCAACCATTATGTTACAATTGCCTATAGTGTTTGGTACAATAATGTGCTGTATAGGTTTGTAGCGTAGGAGCAATAATAGGCCATACCATATAGCCTGGGTGTGTAGTAGGCTATACCATCTAGGCTTGTATAAATACACTATATGATGTTCCCCTCACCCCATGGACAAAATTGCTTAACAATGCATTTCTTAGAATGTATTCCGATCATTAAGCAATGCATTACTATACTTTTTAGCCATTCACACAATTTTAAATATCATCGTTTGTCAGGGATCATCAAATTATCCCTCCAGCCCTCACCCCTATCAAATTTGTGCAAATTCCTGCTTGACACTAACACTTGGATTTTCTAGCAGCATTTAACCTTAACCTGTCTACAACTGAATTCTTGAACTTCTGCCCAGAAGAGTGTCTGCTCTTTCTCAGCAAATGGTATCACCATCTACCTTGTTCCTGAGCTAGAATCTAGGAGTCATTCTTGATTCTCCATATTTATTCTATTATCAGGTCCTGTAAATTCTGTGTTCAAAATATATCTCAAATTCATCTACTTCCCATCTCCACGGCCAGCTTCCTGGTCTCACCCTCTGTCGCTGCTCAACTAGACAACTGTACGGTTTTCAAATCTGTTCTGCTCTTAACACCCTCCCATCCATTTTAACACAGTAATCAGAATAATATTTTTTAAAATACATCTTCCTACATGAAGTCCTTCAAGAACTTTCTTTTGTACCTAGATTAAAACCAAATCCACACTCGTGAATAAAGTCTTGAAGGCCCTGAGTGACTTTCCCTTATGTACCTTAAACTTTATCTCAATTCCTGTCCCCCTCCCTTTTGGTGTTCTGGCCACCCTGGCTTTCCAGTTGCTCCATCACACCAAGCTCTTTTGCTCCTGCGAGGCCTCCTTACTTTCCTTCTGCCTAGAATGTTCCCTGTCTCATCCCCTTCCACCCCCAGGACTAGCTCTTCTCTTCCTTCAGGTCACCTTCCAAGAGGGGCCTTCCTGGCCATCCTGGATAACACTGGCCCCCCTTAGTCTCTCTAATAGCAGCCTTAGCTTTTTTTCTTCTATAGCTTTTTTCATACTTTTTATGGAGTGTTGTGTTTTACATATCATTTTATTATATTTAATTGATCTCACAATTTCAACAGTATACTAATAAGTGACTTCTCTGCCATAATTAACCAGCACTTTTAGAACATTTCTAGTAAAATATTAAAAAATGTACGATTGCCAAATTTAGAAAATGTTCAACTTTAATGAGGATACTTTACTGAGGAATTCTTTTAGTACCGAGTTTAATCTCAGTGGGCCTCTAGGTGAATCATGGCACTTGGCCCCATGCGTACTTCCAGGATGAATTCTCTGCATTCCTACCAGGAGCATGTTGTCATGTCTTAGAGTCATTGCCTTGCAACACACTTCTTTATTTAAGTGAGAACAATTTTGAGAAATTTTTTGCATCATTTTTCAAAACAGAAACTCTATAAGGGGCAGTCTGCATATGATAAACTGAAATACCAAAAGACTATTATAACTTAACTTTACTGCATGGAAATCCTGGTGATAAGTGGCTCTTTTTGATTTATTAACTCACTGACTTTCTTCCTCTGCTTTTACTCACCTGCGAGTTCCCTTAAGAGAAATCCAGGTCTGTTTTGTTTGCCTCTTTTTGCACACCTAATTACTAGTGTGTATGAATGAAGAAAGAATTCGAATGATGCTATTTTTTTCCTGAAGTAGAACTGTGATGAACATCCTCCCAAATTGTGACCGTATTTGTCATTCTGATTTTTTGTTAAATAAAAGTAGTATACAGGCCTCCCAGTGTGTTAATAATATTGTCTACATTTATATGTTAATGGAAGTTTAAAACTTTGAAAGGTTTTATATAATGTCTTATAATATTTTAATTTTGTAAAATTTCAGAACATTTTCATGTAGATTTGTATGCCCCCAGTGGACAGCCAGTGGTGGTTTTGGCCAACCATTGTCTCATCTGTTTGCAAGGAATCTCCTAGCTCTGCTTCTTAAAGCTCTATTGTGCCAGAGAACAAGTATTTTTGTTTTGTTTTCATTTTAAATCATGACTTAATACGTGGTACTGCTATTGGGAGAACCCGTATCTGAATAATGAAAGATAAAACCATCATTACTTCGTAATGTTCAAAATACAGAACAACTGGCTGGGGCACCCATCCATGACAGCAGCCCTTTGGCCAAGCAGGAGAGGTTTTTAGCTTACTTACCTGAAGGCCACACCAAGGCCTGCTCAATGTAGACCCTGTCTATCTCTGGGGTCAGCAATTCTATAGGCCCCATTGATAGCCTGCATTTTCAGCCAACTCCTTCACTTTTTTTAATGCCTTTTTTGGAAGCAGCTGAAAGCCTTGGAACCTTTTAATTATCCCATGATCATGTCTTATTTATACCTGCCTGGTTAGTCTACAGATGGGGGAACTTGGGTCAAAAGGACACAGTCATTGAGTTCTGCCTTCCAGAACTTGCTGAGCTAAATGCAGGTTATAGCTGCCGGCTTAGGCTATCTTGGGTTTGTCCACACAGTGCCTTGTTTTAGGTGGTGAGAGTCTCATTTCTTAGGTGACGGCGAGGCCCTATAATCTTACTGTTTCTCCACATTCCTTTCTGACTCTGGCCTGGGGCATGGTGTATTGGTGAAGGATTTTCAAAGATTAAAGCACGTCTCTGTTTTCTCGGGATCTGTTTGCAGCTGCCTTACTGGAAGGAAAAGGCCCAGTGAGGCATTACTCCTGCTAAGGCTGTCGTTTCTTCATTGATATGTCCGAGGCCACCTGCCTCCAAATGACTCTGAATTTTCTGACCTTTTTCTTCTTTTTGGATCCCAGGTTCACACATTCCGAGGCCCACACTGGTGTGAATACTGTGCCAATTTCATGTGGGGGCTCATCGCCCAAGGGGTCCGGTGCTCAGGTAGACACGGAATTTTCTTTCTCCTTTTCCAGTTCTATAAAGTGCCACTGTGTTGAGCAGGAGGGCATCTCTCCAGACCTGGGGGAGATACACTCAGATAAGCTCAAAAATCTGGCCTTCTGGAGGGTTCCATGCTTGTCTATGCTTAATGGAGAGACTATTCGAAGTGTTTGCATGAATGAAAAAGAGTATCTCACGTTTATGCGGGGAAAGAAAAAAAAACCAAGAAATAAATATTCTTAAACACCTACCTGCCTCCCCAAATAGGCAGTAGTCCTTAAAAGAAAAAAAGTCAATTCCAATGGAATTACATAGATAGAAAAACCATACTTTTTCCTACCCTATCTTACTACAAAAACCAGGACATAAAAATAGTAATAATACTGGTGAATATTTACCCCTTACAAGGCACTGGGCTAACCTCTATTTATCATGCCATTTAGCCTCAACAGAGCATGGAGGAGATGCAATTAAATAAAAGAGGAAACAGAGGCTCAGAGATAATTGTTCCTTGCCCTTGGCCACATAGTAAGCAGTGGAACATTGATTTAAAGGCAGTCAGACTCCAGAGCTCATGCTTAGTATTTTTCTGCCATCAGATCAGCAGTGAAACCACACACCTTGATTTGATATCACATAGTTTTGAAGGAGTTTAAAACCCTAGGTGCTTTTCCACCTAGAATTGGATGCCCACACTCATTGCTAACAGTACACAACACATCTTATCAAAGTACATCTAACAAATGATAAAGAGTTGCCAAATTAATATGTAACTGGGCTTCCTAATTCATCATGCCACACTTTTTCTGGCAAGCAATTGTGGCCGGGAGCAAGAACAGCCTCTTCTGATATTGATTGTGTTTCCACCGACACCATGACCGATTTCCTCCTTGCTGGGGTATGATTTTAAAAAAATAATTCTTATGCAGCATTTAAAATAAAATAAATTAATGACACTACATTAAGGTGACCTTCTTTTCCATACATAGTGCCCATCTTGGTTCACAGGATCGTGAAACCTTAAGTTCTCCTCTCTGCCTGGAAGGGGCTTTTTAGCTTCTGTATGGATACAGCAATCACTGTGTTCACACCTGGGTGATTCAAGTAGCCCTCGTGTATGTCAGATAACTCTGTCTCCCCCATCCCGGGTCCATGAGATAAGTGGTATTATGTTCAGATTTACCTCTGAGAGACAGCCTCTCCAGATATGTTCAGATACCCTGATTAACACAGAAGACTAACTTGCCAGAAGTCACAGAGCATCTCACGGCTCAACCACTGAGCAAAGAGGTAGAATATCTGAATGACTCAGTGGCCATTAACTTGGCCTGTCCAGATCATATCTATCAAAAATATCCCTAATTGCTGGTATTATCCAATTCCAGCATAAAATTGGTCCAAAATCAATATTTTGAGAGCAGAACTCTGGGCTTCACATTAGCTGTGAACAGTACTTTTCTCTGGGATGAAAGGGTTTTTGGGTTTTTTTCTAGTGTGGTTTTTTTTAAATGAAACACATTCTAAAGCTATACTGTTAATGTGCTCCACTGGCTACTCTTTGTCCTTACGTTTCCTGTGAGCAGCAGAAAGGCTAAAACTGATCAGAGAAGGTTAGGAAGGGCCATCGTTGCCTCTCAGCTCTCCATATATTACAAATTTTAAATGTTTTTAAACACACTAGACTTTATTCGTAGCATATGGAGTTCTATTACTTTGAAAAAACTGAATATTTTATACTTGTTATAAAACATCTTAATTTTAATAAAATGTCAATATTTAACTCTACATAAATATATTATTGCTTCAGGTCTTAAAATGAAGATGTATGATTCCTCTTATATGAGGTATCTAGAGACAGAAAGTTGCATGGTGGTTGCAGGGGGAAGGGGAAGGAGAGAGATGGGTGAACGGAAGTTACATTGTTTGGGTACCTTCAGTTCTGGAAGATGGAAGAAAGTGCTGGGGTTGGATGGTGGTGATGGTTGGACAACAATGTGAATGTACTTAATGCTATAAACTGTACACTTAAAGATGGTTAAAATGGTAAATTTTATGTAATGTATATTTTACCACAATTTAACAAAAAATTTTAAGTGAAATTTGTGAGATGTAGTACAAATTACTTATAAAATAACTTAATAGCTGGACAGGTATCCTTATTTTCTTATTACCATATTTGCTATCTGTTTTATTTGACTGAACACTTATGTAGTACCTACTGTATTTCAGACACTGTGCTGAGCACTTTATATCTATTAACTTATTTGATCTGTGTGGTAATGCTAGGAGGTAAGTGCTATTATGAGCTCCATTTTATAAAAGGATTCAAACAAGAAAACCTGCCAATTCTTTTAGTTCAGTTAGTCAAAATTTACATTCCCTAAGTAGATACATCAAAATATTATTGAAGTTCACAAGCTTTGCTGAATTTCTCACAATGATAAAGCTAAGATGAATTAGAACTGTTTTTTTCTTTGGCAGGAGGGTAGACAAAAATAACTAGTAAAAATTATGTGAAAATAACTTAGAAATTACCACTGATTTACAGAAGTTTACAAGGGTCCTCTCAAACTCTTGGTGTGGTTAACTGCTTTTTATATAAAGCAGCTGACTACAATATTCATTATCCTGTGTGTGTGTGTGTGTGTGTGTGTGCGCATGCATGTGTGTAGTGCTATTCTTTAAACCTAGAAGGCACTTTGAGTAGACAGCACATTAACTTTGAAAAACTTCAGCATTACATTTTTATTTTCCAGAATGTAGACTACTTTTTCATTGTCAGAGAAATTCTGAAAGTGAATACCAACTGCTAACAAGGCTTTTTAATGTCTTCATTGAACTTAAAAGCACCTTTTCAGCTTCGGATCTTGATACGAGCTTCATAAATAATTCCTCTAATCATCGCATTACACGGCATTGTTATAAATTATAAACTCTCAGGTACTCCCACTGGTGTACAGTTAGGCATTATTTCCACTCATAGGTGTCAAAATAAGACCCGTAGAAAGGACAATGGCCTACTCAAAGTGCCCGGCAAGGAGGAGGGGAGTGCAGACTACGGGGCAACCCTCTAGGAAAGGGGAAGAAGATGCCATGGTCATGGTCATGATGATGGACTCCTCAAACCAAAGATGAGCAATTCCTGCAGAAAGAGTAACTATGCCTTCCACAGCAGAGCATCATGGGCTTAAAGGAAACAACCTACCCAAAGTCCTAGGTGCCCTTTATGAGCCGTGATCATCTCTGGAAATCTAAACCAAAGCCCACTTGTGAACCCAAAGGGTTCCAGCCTGAAAAGGGAAAACATACAAACACCCTAACTAATTGCCTAAACCATCTGGGTAAGACATTCTAGTCCAGCCACAAAGGAGGCTTATTAAGAAAAATTGAATCACATAGGGGTTTAATGAGTAAAGATGAATCACACACTCACCTCGTAGAGAGTATCTCTCTAAATGCGATGGGATGTTCCAGGGAGATACATCAAACCCTTGGGTGGTGGTATTTTTTATTTTCGGCAACGTATAATTTGTGTTGGGCTTTGACAAAAGGACTGGGCAAGGCTAATGTGGCATCTTTGTTTACAGACTGTGGCTTGAACGTACACAAACAGTGTTCCAAGCACGTTCCCAACGACTGCCAACCTGATCTCAAGCGGATCAAGAAAGTGTACTGTTGCGACCTCACAACTCTTGTGAAGGCTCACAACACTCAGAGACCCATGGTGGTGGACATATGCATTCGGGAAATTGAAGCGAGAGGTTTGGAAAATACTTCTTATTACAATATTATACTGATTCTATTTTTACTGTTTATTTTTACTGTTGTCAAGAAAACCAAAGTTCTCCATTACTCTTGTTGGGACCAGCACATACACACAAAGACGCACACACAGATAAATAAACTATATCCATTTCCATATATCATAAGCCATGCCTGTATGCATTCAACAAATGTTTTTACTATGCATTTATTATGTGCTAGGCACTGAGGTTATAAAAAGTCACCATTCTTGCCTTCAGAAATTCATACTATAGCGTGAGGAATCAGAAGAACAGAGAAATAAATGGTGTAGGTAGACGTATTCAAAGCACTATAGAGTCACAAAGGAAGATATTTTTATTTGAGGACAATTGAGAAAGGATTATGGCTTAGGTGAGGTTGGAACTGGATCTTTTTAAAAAAGTGTTTCTATTAAATAATAAAGAAATTGTTGATCAACATGTATCTTCTACATATAAAAATGTGCTCCTAATATCGGTTCTTTTTTTAAAAGATTGTCTTTCTTTATGGTGTACAACATGATGTTTTCAAATATGTATGCATTGTATTATGCCAAAGGAACTAATTAGCATATGTATTACTTGTGGTGAGGACAATTGAAATCTACTCTTAGGGATTTTCTTTTTATTTCTTTTCTTTTCTTTTTTTTTTTTTTTTTTGAGACAAGATCTTGCTCTGTTGCTGGGGCCGGAGTGCAGTGGCGCAATCATAGCTCACTGCAGCCTCAACTCCTGGGCTCAAGCGATCTTCTCACTTTGGCCTCTCAAAGTGCTGGGAATACAGGCATGAGCTACAATGCCTGGCCCTAATATCGGTTCTGTTTAGTTCAAAGAGGAGAGTTAAAAGATTAAAAAGATCTACGCAATGAAAAAATTAAGGAGGCAAGGAAGATAGAAACGTTTCCAGAAAAGGTTCATTATATTATGCTTCAGTCATCTTTCCTTCATTTATGCTTTATTTGGCCACCATTCAGCATCAAAATGTTCAGTGACATGGTTTACCAGGTCTGGTTAGGGAGAACTGAGATTGCTGGATTTGACTTGGATAATTGGGCCATATATACAGCCTTCGTAAGATTTTAACCATTTTTGCCCTATATTGTATTCTGCTATACTTGATATCCATTGTGGTGTCCAAATTGGCTTAATATATTTCACGGGTACATATTCATTGGCCAACTACCCCATTTTTTCCAAATCAAAACAAAAGAGAACATTATAGCTTATTATCCCAATCCTTTTACAGATAGGAAATTATTCCCTTCCCCATGCAGGGTGGAAAACCATAGCCATTCTGTTCCCTGAGGACTTGCTCATTTAACTCACATTGTAGGAAATGCCTCCTGTCTTTTCACTGCTGTGGATGTTAGAGCTTAATGGGTGCTTTGAGATCTGGTAAAGGTATTAATCCAGTGGTAAAGGTATTAATTAATCCCCTCTTTCCTGGGTAACAGGAAAGGGAGTACTGTTCTGTGACTCTGGCTGAGTGGCTGGAACAGTGACCCTGGGTCCTGCTGTTTAGAGGACACTGTGGTTTGGGATCAGATCATCAGCCTCTCCAGAGCCTGAAATCAGGGCCAAGGATGGAGTTGTACTTACTTCTCTGAAGAAGCTGGGACCCTCCCAGAGACGACTAATAACTCAGGCAATGTTACTTCGTGTCTAACATTTAAGAAGAAAGTTCCCATGGGGAGCACAGTGCCAAGCATGCCTAGTATAAGAGCTAGAATAGCACAAATCAGGAATTTATGCCAAGGAAGTCACAGCATGGGAATTAGAGCCCCAGGTATCAGGGGTGTAAGCATATGAGCAGACCCCGAGAATGAGCTGGAAGAAATTCCTATGACACTCATATTCCCAGCTGCACGGCCACCACTGCCGTGCTTGCTATCTTCCATCCATAGCAAATTCCTTACTGCTCTCCAAATGTTCTTTTATGCCCATTTGTCTCTGCATGGCGTGATAGAGTGAAAAAAATCACAGACTTGAAGTTATGATAAATTCCCAGCCCTGTCTTACTGGCTATAGTATTACCTTGGCCAAGTTACTTACTGCATTTGAGTATCTGTCTCCTCATCTATGATATGAATGTAATCGTACCTCATGAGGTGGTTGTGAGGATTAAAATGAATTGATACATATAAATGACCTAGTACTAGGTGTCAACCTAGTATGGCGTTATAGGACTCAACCTGTGCTATTCCCTGTCACCTTCTCTTGCAATGGCCAACTCCCATAACTCCACCTCCAAGTCTGTCTCACTGTGTTACTTGGTGTGCATGTCTCAGTGCTGTACAACGACCCTGAATAATAGTGTCCTAGACAAGGCAGAAATCTGTTCTCTCTCCAGTAACAGCCCAGGCACCCAGGAGTAGTCCCACACAACTGAGCAGCTCCCCAGTGGCAGGAATGCAGGCCCTGCAACCCGTCGCTCTGTCGTGCTTGAATGCCGCCCTGTCTGCAGGATCCCTGGTGCCACCGTCTCACCTGTACTGCAGCCAACAGGAGGGGGAAGGAGGCATGCTCTTTCCCTTCAAGGCCACGACCCCGAAGCTGGACACAGCTGTTGGCCAGAGTTTCATGGCCACTGCAATAGATGTTGTTCTAAAAATCAAAGGTTCCATTACAGTAGAGGAACGGAAGAACCAATACTGGAAGGATAGCTGGCAGTCTCTGCTACTCTGGCAAACTCCAACCCTTCCTTCACAACATCCTTCAAGATTAGCTTCTCAAAAAACCATCTCAATATAATGTAAGGTGATGCTTTGCTGAGTAAAGTATGGGCTAGAGTCAGGAAAATTACCCCATTTAATTATACTCTAAACCGTAAAAACGATTTAGCATAGGGTATAAAACATTGATTTTTCTATGTTCCTTGAATACCTGGATTTCTTTGAAAGTGACTCTGTGAATCTTAAGGACTGAATGTTTGTATCACACCCGCCTCCCTCAAATTCATATGTCGAAGCCCTAACCCGGTGTGGCTGTATTTGGAGATGGGGTCTCTGAAGAAGTAATTAAAGTTAAATGAGGTCCTAAGCATGGGTTATTAATCCATATGACTAATGTCCTTATGAGAAGAGACTCCAGAGAGCAAGCTCACTCTGTCACTCTCCAGGGACGTACCATAAAGAAAGGCCATGTGAGGACAGGTGAGAGAAGGTGGCCATCTATGAGCTAGAAGCTGAATCAGTCAGAACCTTGACTCATCTGTCAACAGGCAGGGTCACTTGTCCACTGCTGTGTGCTCACATAAACCACTGGGCCCTTGCCTCTGTTCCAACTATACTGAGCTGTGTGCACACACGCCACAATTCAGGAACAGGATGACACGCAGGTTCCATCTCGTGTGCCAACTCCAGGTGATCAGCAGTGGTAACCTGGACAACTGGTAGTGAGATGAATTGTGAGACTGAGTAGGGCTCCGTGGGGAAAAGAGCTGAGATCAACTAGGAGTGTCTGTTGTGGTCACAGGAGAGAGGAGGGGCGGTATTTATGATTTATGCCTCGTACTTGTTGTCTCTGATGCAGACTTAATGAAGACCCTTATATATGGCAGATAGTACACATTCCATAAATGTTTACCAAATGAAAAAGGAGAAACGTATGTTACTTATCAACAGTCTGGAAGAACACCCTGCAGCAAGAGCAGAAGCTGTTTGCTTGCTTATTTTTGCTGTAGCTGTCATTTTGGTAGCAGCTAGTTTGTGACATACAAGGTCTAAAATCTGGTCCTTGGTCCCTTTTGATGCTTTTGGGAACTTGCTACATTTTAGGACGTATCTTAACACATCAATAAGCTCTAGGACAGAAACTAAGTCTTTTTCTTAGCCTAAATATGCAGTGATCAGATTTCCAGAAGCAATAAATGGGATTTTGTTTTCTGTTTGTGTAATCACTTGTCTGAAAGTATAAGCATTGTATCAGTCATATTTAGTTAAACAGTTAACATACTTTCTTATGAGTAAACATGAAATGATGTAAAATTTGGATTTTTCCAATAAAATCAGAATAATATGTATTAGGCACGCACACATGTGTGTGTGTCCCTGACACAGTGCTACATACAATACAGCACGTGCATTAAGAGGATGTGAGGGAGAAAGCCAGGTTACCTTCCACAGCAGTGACATGCATGTCTGGAAGTCTGATGAACAAAGGACGTAGAGGGTAGGTTGATGAGAGTCTTGAATATCAGTTCACCTTGCAAAGCCAGGCAACAAGACCAAATTTCCACAGGCACACAAGCAAATGAGGACAGAATTGCATGGAAACTGAGACTGGCAAGTCCAAGCTCTGATGCAACAGTGTGTGATATATAAGATCACTGACTATATTTCCTCACCTCCTGATAGCACATAGTATAGATATGAAATTCAAGTCTATTTTTTTTAGATGTTTCAAGAAGCTATAGTCAGCCTCTCAGTGTCTGTCTCTCTCTCTCTCACTCTCTCTTTCTCACTCTCTAACAGGATTGAAGTCAGAAGGCCTTTATAGAGTCTCTGGGTTCACTGAACACATTGAAGATGTCAAAATGGCATTTGACAGAGGTAAGCTTGCACTTTCCTAAATGCCATCTGACATCCTTAGTATCCTGTCTTTTGGAACCAGATTTTATTCATAGTGGGAATGGGACTGAGAGTTATTCTTCGGGAACCTGAGTAATAATGGCTTAAAAACCTCGTGGTCCTACCTCTCTGGGTGAACTGTTTCCTTAGAAGCCAAGGTCAAGTGACCACATAAGGAAGTGAGTTTAAAATACTACTTGGGTGGGCAGCCAATCCACATGGCACCAGTACCCTTCTGCACGCCCTACCTCAGGATCCCGTTGACTCTTCTCGTTCTCTCAGAGCTCCAAAGAAGGAGCATGGGGATGGGGGGCACCACCAGCACTGAAGTAGGGGAAGCCAGTGGAAGTTTAGGAGGTAACTCTTTTGTTCTTTTTGATGGTGACCTATATTCTCTAGGCCAGGGCACAGTATGTCTTAGGTCAAATATAGTCAACTCGGGGATCCTGCTTAAAACACAGATCATCAGGACTAACCCTGAGGACTCATTCTGAAAGCTGGATAAGCCGAAGAATCTGTATTTCTAATAAACAATCCAAAGAATTCTGGTGCAGCCAGTCAGGGGATGGGACCCCTCGCCTACGGGCAGAGCCTCCACTTTGTAGCACAGTATACAAGGTCTTCGACAATGTGGCCCTCCTTCTCTGTCCCCACTCATCTCTAGGTCCTCATCCCTGTTATACTGTACACCCCAGCAATCCTGAAATACACTTTGTTGTCATGAATAAGTCCCTCGGCTTACATTGTCTGTCCATCTGGAATGTGTTCACACCTCTGCCTGGCAAACACCTGCTAATCAGGGATCAACTCAAGTCTTCCCTCTTCCGAGAAGCCTCCCTGATGCCCCCAGCCGACCTAAGAGCTCCACTGCCTTCCCCACACCCTCCCCCCATGCTCTTCGCACCTCTTCCGCATAGCACTCTCCCCATTTCCTTGCAACTGTTGAGTTGCCTGTCTGACTGTTACTCTAACTAGAACTCTTAGAAGACGGTATCTCTTTTCTACTTTGATTTGCCAGGGTGTACCAGTGCTTGGCACGTGGCAGCTCCTCAATAAATGTCTGCTAACTGTGCAAATAGTAGAATCAGGATGGCATATCTGCTGTGCTTTCACTGTTGTCCATGCATCCGCAGCTTTCTTGCCTTCGGAACCAAATTTGCTGGAGCATTTGTTCTTTTAATTCTCTATACAAAAGATGTTAATAATCCCTATATAACTGAAACTTTTTTAATCCAAAAATTTCTCATATTCTGTGACAAAGTCACTGACATTTACTAATGGTAAAACAAAAAGTCAAATGTCCTGAGAACGGTTGTTAGGAATTGTAAGAAACATGGCATCACTTATACATGAGGCAGGGTAAGATCTCCCAGGTTAAAGTCCTTGGGGCTGGGAAGGGTGGGTCAAGTTAAAAATAAAAAATATCAATGAGCCAGAAAGAAGTAATAAGAACTGAAGATTTTTCAACAATTATTTTGTGAATATGACCTCCAAATCCAAGTCCAAAGAACAGTGGCGGAGATGTATTAGAGATTCTTGATACTTTTTTATTTCAGATTAGATTGTCATTCTGTTATGAACTTTTGTGTCTGTAATGCAAATTACTGTGCTAAATTTTTGTTTAGCAAATTAGCATGGGCTGGGACCCGCAGAACTATTTCGAGTCTTTTTCATTACCTTCTGCCTGCACTTAGCCTCGGACCCTACCTCACTCTCAGCGAACTCCTTTCTGTTACCTCCTACACCTCAATGTTAATAGAAGCCAAAAGAATTAGCTGAACCCTGTCAGAAAGCAGTCATTGTTAGATTTTTTTTTTCTTTCTGTGCATGCCTTAACTTGGTGCAATAAGGTCCTAATTAGGACTTGGATCGTTGATTGTTTTTCAGATGGTGAAAAGGCAGACATATCTGCCAGCATCTATCCAGACATAAACATCATCACTGGAGCCCTTAAACTGTATTTCAGAGACTTGCCCATCCCCCTCATCACATATGATACCTATTCCAAATTTATAGAGGCAGCAAGTAAGTATTTAGAATTATTTTTTTATTTGTACCAAAATGTTAAGTACAATGCTTTTGACCTTAAGAAAATTAAAATTCAGAACTCTTTAAATTATTGCACGTGCACTTGTTTTGCCAAGTGAGGGCACAACAGTGCAATTGATAGACAACCAGGCATAGTTCACCAACTGAGTTGAACCAGTACGGAGCCAACTCTACTGGGCTGAAGCAGGGCGTCAGGCGTTTCCTTGTGTGCTGGAAACTAGCACAGTCGGGCCTAGGCTGCTGTATGTTGGAAGCATGAATATTTCTGTAGCAAAAAATAATCAGATCTTCTTCAATGAGGACGATCGAGGTCAACTACTTTTATCCACTAGACAGAATCTCATTGCTAATCAATTAAAGTCACACCCAAGTTTTGCCCATTGACACTATTCAAAATTAACAGAAGGCCAAGAATATGCTGTTCCAAGTGCTATGCTAGGACCCCTCACCAATGTCTTCTGGTTTAATCTTCTCATCTCCTCCATGAGACAAATATTATAATCCCATTTTTCAGAAGAGAAAAGCGAGGCTTGGAGAACTAAGCTCACAGACCCAGGAATGGAATCCCAGCGTTCACTTTCCATCAGCTTGTTCAGTGTCCAGCACTTGGGGCAGTGCTGTCAGGGGAGAGGAACAAAGTGAAAGGGAAGGCGGGAGAAGGAGCTGCCCTTCGCCCAGGAATAGGCATTAGTGAGGAAGGGGACATTGAGATGCTGAGATCCATGACATTGAAGTCAAGCCCACTTTGAGGAAGTTTCCTTCTGTTTTGAGTTCTGTTGTTGGTGTTTAATCTTTAAAGGTTGGAAACTTTAGATATGTGCTATTAAATATAGCAATGAGATGCCTGACTGGGAGACACAAGGGCAGGCTGGGATAAGGGTGAGATGCACTTTCCAGATGAGCTGTGGCCCTGCTCCCTGGTAAGACCATTTCTTCCCAGGTCCTGGTTGTCCTAGGCAGAGAAGAATGGCAGGAGGGATTTCTTTGAGTAGCTGCCAATACCTATCAGAGACCCAAAAACCCTTCCATCGTTAATAGGCCTAGTCTCCTCTTCCTAACCTGGGCTGTGCACCGGGGTTAACCATGCCAACACTTTGGTGAGAAGTACCATCAATGCAGGCTGAGTTGGCTGGCTCATCTGCCAATGTCATTGCATTGCAAAATGGGTTTGGTTGTGGAAGCCTGCCAGGGAAAAGACATTAGACAACTTCAAAATATGTGGTACAGTTTAATTTAAAGTTGTGATAGTCAGATTCCTAGCAAATCCAGTGCTTGTAAGGGCAAGGCACAGTTTGCGCATGTGCCACCAGACTGTAAGCATTCCACTGGCCTGCAGATTCCTGGAGGGCAAGGACGGTGTCCACCCTCTGGCCACCCACGATGTGGACATGCAACAAGCATATGGGGCTCAGCCTCAACTCTTTCTGGAATGAGGCAGGGCATGGACAAATGAATTAAGTGAAATAGTACCTGAAATTACATGAATTTATTAGAACCTGCCCCCATTTGCAGCTAAAACAAACAAAACTTCTTGTTATTTCTCGGAAAACTTTACCATCCTAACTCTGCACTAATATCCGGATGTGTGAACTTCACAGAAATCTCCAATGCAGATGAGAGGCTGGAAGCAGTCCATGAAGTGCTGCTGCTGCTGCCTCCTGCCCACTACGAGACCCTCCGATACCTGATGATCCACCTCAGAAAGTAAGCTGACAGCGCATCTGCAAAGCCTGATCCACCCCCGGGGCCATTAGTGCGTTAGGAAAAGCCCCAGTGCTCCTCCCAGCCCTCGTCAGCAGCACTGGAGCCCTCGCTCTGTGCCAGGAGCTGCTCTGGGCACAGTCCTTGTATCATGCCTATGTGGTGGGCACTGTCAGAGGCCTCGGGTTACATGTGAGGTTGCTGAAGCTTAGGGGGGTTAAATGTGGTAGCTGATCCACAGAGGTAAAGCCAGGATTGAAACCCAGGCAGGCTGACCCAGAGCCCATGCTCTGTCTTAACCATTTGTCTACACTGCCTCGGCGTCTGTACCTCCCTCCGACGCAAGCCCTGCACTCTGTGTGCTATTCTCCCCCTGCTGCTTACCCCAGTTCTGGACCCCGAGCCTGCCTGCCCCTTGGAGAACACATTCCCAACCTGTTCTCTTGTGAGTTCTCTGTCACCGAGTAACAAATCGCCCCAAAGTTTAGTGGTTTAAAATAATAAACACTTATTATCTCATAGTTTCTGTGGGTTGGGAACCTGGGTGTGGCTTAGTGGGTGCTTCACATTCAAGGTCTGTACCGTCAGGTGCAATCTCATCCGAAGGGCTTGACGGGGGAACATCCATTTCCGAGCTCATTCGTTCACATGGTTGTTGGCAGGATTTGGTTCCTCAAAGGCTGGTGGACTGGAGCCCTTATTTCCTTGCCATTTGAGTTGCTCCATAGGCAGCTCACAAATGGCAGCTGGCTTCCCTCAGAGCACGCAAGCAACAGTTCCCAAGATGAAAGACGGTCTTTTTGTAACCTAATCTCAGAAGTGACATCCTATTGCTTTTGCCATAGTTTATTCGTTACAAGCAAGTCACTGGGTTGAGCCCATATCCTAGGGGAAGCCACTCCACAAGGGTGTGAATTCCAGGAGACGGGGATCCCTGGGGACCATCTCAGAGGACACCCACCACACTCTGGGTGTCTATACAAGAGTGTACGAGACAGAGGTGGAGATGTTTGGATGTTTACAGGACACTAGAGCTCCAGACTCTTCTCCCTAAACTTTGTGTCTCTTTCCTTCGCTGTATGTGTATAATGAGGTCAACGGGTTGGTCTTATAATACTGGAGGGATCGAGGTACATCTATGTGCCTCCCTGTGTGTTTTTTGGTAGATACATGTCAGCAGCCCATTCTTAGATAAAATGAACCAAAAATTATCTACATTGATCAATTTATAGGTCTACTTACTAAGTGAAAGGAACCAAGTTGATAATACTGTATTAACACTGGCATGGAGGTTTTCATTTTTCCGCCTTATAAAACACACAAATACTATCACCCAGCTTCAGAGTGACCAGAGATGGTAACATTT